AAAACTTTTAACTAAAAAGTTAATTAATTATAAATCACTACAAATATTAATTGAATATTTAATTATTAAACCAATATGTGAAAAAGAACTCTAACTAAAAAGCACTAACAATAATTTCAATATCTAAAATAAAGCAGTTTTTCTTTTTTAATGTTCATGGTAGCAGTCACAATAATTTAATTTAACTTTTGTAAGTTATATTGTGTGACTTCATCTTTAAGATTTTCTTTTGGAACATTTACTCGATACAAGAATTTTGTAAGTACCACGTCATTAATATTTTATTTAATTATTGCAGAAACTATATATTTTAAGATAAAAAATATTTTTATTTCTATATCTGATTGATTTCTTTTAGTTATGTTAAATATATTCCAATAAAAAAAGTATTATAAATCACATTAATCTTATAAATACTTTGGGCATAGTTTTACGGATGATGAAAAGTGGTTATAAAAGGGTGGAACCTGGGGAGATTTGGCCTCAAATGTCCACACCTACTAAATCAAGACAAAAGAATTTTGTGGTCTATATACTTATCTAGGGGCTAGCATTTTCAAGATTGTTGTGCAAAAAAAATCAAAATCATGTTTAAAGAATCCATTATTCTACACCTTTTTTAAGTGCAACACACACTAACTACTATTCCTCTATGCTTGTAAGATAGAAACCGGAAAAAAAAAAATAAAAGTATAAAATGTTAGGTAGAGTTTTTGTTTTTTTATTTTATCGATATTAGTAGTTATATTTTGTTAGTAGGAGAATTAAATCTATCATTTTACCATACTTTTTTCAAAATTTACAAAATCAATTTTATAATTTTTTAACTGTTAGTGGAAAAATTAAATTACAGTCTTTTTTTTAATTTTATCATTAAATAAATCTAAAAATAAAAAAAGTATTAACTAAAATAAGATCTGCAACTGTTATATTAGTGATATATACAACACTTAGAAGTAAGTGTGACATGTGGTGGTATTTTATGTAAATAGTATCAGTGATGCTGATATCGAAGAAATTATTCAAGTTATTTCCCTAGCAGATAAATATCGTCTATGGATAGAATACAATGTGACTCCCTATAAATGATTAAGGCCTTTAAAAATAAACCTTGAAGATACTTGGAAACATGCTCTCTTTCTCTCATTTCTGTAGTAGTTTTTTTTTTTTTAATTATATTTGATACACAAATTTTTTATATTTAATTAATAATTTTTTTATTCCTTTTTATTAAAAATATAAAAAAATATAATTATTTTGTTCTTATAATGTAAATATATGTCATTTTATTATTATTGTTTTTATATATTTTTAAAACGTCTCATCAAACTTTAATAAGTTAGCAACTCTTTTAGATGATATCTTGTTTTGGTTAAACCACTTGTCTAGTTATATTAAATAGGATCTTTTTAATGATTTCTATAGTTTGTTCTCATAGGTTTTTAGTCAAATTTTCCTATAATTTTGTGCTCTTTTTAATTATTTTTTTAAATGTGTAGCATTTATCTATTTAGCAAATATCGAAATTATCTTCAAATAAATCCTTTTTGTTTACTGGTAGATTATATACTTTCTTTAGATAAAAATATATGCAACACCCACGTTTATAAATTTATTTTTTATTTATTCTGTTCAGTCACTTATACTAAAGGAACTAAATGTGTCTATTCTTTTATTTTTTTAAAAAGTAAAATTAAGATCCAGTAGAAATTTCATAAATAATTTGCAAGAAAATAACTCACAATTCTGTCTTAATCCCATTACAAGGAAGATAATCGATTAAGGACAGCATTCAACTCCCCTTTGTGTTCGCCCTCACAATAAAAAATTAATACTTATATTAACCTTAATAAAATAAATCTTTAATAAAAAAGTATTTTATAAATTAAAAGATCTTAAAAGCAATAATAATAGTAATACTAATAAATTAATTAATAATGTTAATAACAATTAATAATAACTCTTAAAGATAGATAATTTTAGAAAAAATAATTTTACTTTATTTCTTTTTAATCAAGTAATTTCTTTTTATCTTTATTTTCTCATTCGTTTTTTTAATTTATCTCTTTCTTATTTATCAATCATTACATTGAGATATTTGGTTTCTTTACTGGCTTGTTCTGCAATTTTCAGGAATTTCAAAACTTTATATTTTTGGTTCAATTTTTTTTATAGATCTGTTTTTCAAATACACTGATTCTTATACTTCAAAATACATTACAAAATTTATTATATTAAAATTAGTGTGTTGTGGAAAAAAAAAATCAACAGAGACCCTTGAATATTGAGAATGGAGTGTCCCACAACTCCGTACATTATTTCCTTTTCATTCGATAAAATGATTATTTGAATTTATTTTTCTCTGATGTCATAATTCAATTTCTCCCCTTCACTGAAAACATAAAAGGAGTGATAAATAATGTGAAAGAAATAACTGGATACTTGATCTGTAGTTAAAAGTATATAACATCCAAGTTACTTTTCATATAAAAAACCTGGAATCCGATGATTTTGGGTAGTGGTCTAATAATACATATTTACATACATCACATATTATAAAGATATTATACATGTTATAAAGATATTATAAAGATAAAATAGTCATAAAAAAATATTTTCTTATATTTTTAAAAAAGAAATAAAAATTAAAAAAATGTGAAAAGTTTGTATATATCAAAATATTATTATTTTAATACTTTTTTATTTATATTCTTCCTTTTGTTCGCCCTGTCAACTTCACACAAAATTCAAGTCTATAACAGGCAAGGAAACTTGTTTATTTATTTTCCATTTGCAAATTTGCTTGGTTGGTAATAACTTTAACTCTAGAAAATAATTTATAAGATGATATTTATATTAATAAAAGTGTTAATGCAGATGGAATGACAGTAAAGTTGATAGAAAGTGGTTATGTTTAATTTTAACCGAAAGAAGAACATATGCATGTGCAGCAGATGAAGACGTACTGCAAATGGTGGCCAAGAAATTTGATCTGTTCATCATAGCGAAAAGAAAAGACCAAGAAAGGTTAGAAAACAAGCAATCCTTCCAAAGAGTATCCCTTTTGTTTCCACTAATCGATCATTAGTTAGGAAACTAAATTCATCACTCTATGCTATGCAGCCATGTTATGTGGTCCAACGCAGAAAAGGCCACTTCCATCATGCAAAATCCTTTGCCATTGTCTTATGAAAAAACAAAGTTTTCTTTCTCGTGGGGTTTTCTACTCTAAACTGGAGGAGGTAAGTTGCATAAACCTTCATCTTTTCTTTCATCATGAAAATTCGTAAAAGGTTGTTTTTTGAAGACACCAACAAACACACATACATACATAAATCAGTGGAGAACAAACACATTCATCTGCATGCCAACTTTATTTTATATGAATTAACTGATCCAACTTACCCCAAGTTTTTTGTCTGGATTCATTCATCGTCATAATTTCATAATGAAAATGTCATAATTGAAGAGAACGTACGTAGCAGAAACTGCTGAGGAAATACAGAATATCAGTGGAGAACATTTTGTGACCTCAATTCCATCCAGATACTCATATTTAAGGTTGTTGTTTCTAAGCTAACTGGGGACCTTCATTTATGTAATGAATTCAATTTTATTATGATACGGATATTTATTGTGCTTATCTGGTGAGAGTACGTTCTCCTTATGCCCTACGCATGCGAATAATTTTCTGCTCCAAAGCATATTGGGGACCTTGCACTCCTGCCATGCTTTTAATTAGGTCAAATTTAAGGTACACTACAATATTTTTATTTATTTAAATACGTATGAAAGTATATCTTTTTAATACATTTTCATATATTCTATAATTAAGTAGATCATGAAAATGATAATAAGTGATACTTGTACGTAAGGACTCACCTAATTTCTTCAATCTGACCTACTTTACTCCCACATAATCAATAGGTGTCGATCTCTGGGATGAATGCAATGCCTGCTTTTCTCTCACTTTTTTTTGGAATGCAGGTATCTTCTTTTTTTCTTTTCTCTATGGCATTCTACTCTCTCTTGGATATAAAGTTTATTTAGTGTCAAAATTCATACAAGCTTATATCTTGAAAACCATACTCAACGAATCATTAAATCAGTAAAGTGAGGTTGTGATCCTCAACCATGAATGAAAGCATGAATGAAAGGTAGAAGAAAAAATATAGAGAAATTAATCTAATATCATACTATTGGTGAAAAATTAAAAGGTTGTATATTTTTCTTCAATCAATCATTTAACCTTAAACAAAAATTTATATAGTAAAAGAAACTTATCGAACTAAATTTATATAACAAAATAACTAATTCTATTTTCTAATAAAAGAGGTACTTCTTTGCTAAAAATAAAAAAACAAGACGTCTAAGTTAATTTTTAAACTTCTTTATTTTGAATAGATTCATATTAACAGGATCCAAAATGGTTAAAATATGTATTGAATATTTAAAAAAAAATTATCAGTTGTCTTTTATTATTTTCGCAGATGATTAATATCTTAATAAATTATAAGTTAGATTAAGGTTATTATGATTAAAATCCTTAATAATACTAATATAGTTTTACTATAATTATTTTGCTGTTTTTTGTCCATTGATGACAATTTGGATTCTCAGGATTAACCGTGTCGAACGAAATGTTTCAGTTATCCACATTCAATTGAACGTGCAATGGAATAACGTTTGCATTATGTCATCTATCGCTGTAGCCCCACAGAGTTTAAGAAACTTCACCTAAATAATTAAGGTTATCCAAATATCCTTAAAACACCAATCACAAAATCCTATTGTGCTCAGTAAAGTTGGCTATGTAATTTAAATGACTTAAAAATAAAATCACTTTTAAAGACCAAATCTCACCAAAAAATTCTTACAATAAATCAATAAAGGTAATATTTTATGAAAAAGCATTTATTCTCCACGTTCCCGTTAAAGCTCTTATCAATAAAGGTAGGATGGGCTGGGCCGTCGGGCGCTCCTAGTTTTATGGGCCCATTCAAAATAATAAAAGACAGTTTTCAGAGCCTATAAATCGTAAAGAAAACCGCTTTGTTCATGCAGAAGCAAGCATCGACGACACCTTGGTCAGGTGTGAGGTGATAGCATTAATCTGGACATCTTTGTTCCTTCTTCATTCAACTGTTGGGATTGTGAAGAAGAAGGAGAGGGAAGAAATGAGTACTCTCTTTCTCTTCATCCTCCTTTTAACGCTCACTGTAAGCATAAATCTATAATACTTCTCCTTCACTCTCACTGCTTCATCCAATCATCATAATCATCATCTTCGTTCTTAGGTCTAACATCGCCAATGCAGGTTGCTTACGGTGGGGGGAACTCACAAGATCAAAACCCCTTCACGCCAAAGGCTTACGTCTCACGTTACTGGGATAGACACGTCCGCAACACCTTCCCAAAACCATCCTTCCTTCTTTCCAAAGCCTCTCCACTCACCGCCGCCGACACTGCCTCCTTCACCAACCTCGCCGCCACCAACACTCTCTCCACTCGCTTGCCAGAGTTCTGCTCCGCTGCGCACCTACTCTGCTTCCCGGAGGTCCGTCCAAGCCTCCAGAAACACACCGAAGACGAGAATTTTCAAACCTACGACGACGGCCAGAATTTCACTAACTACGGAACGAATAGAGCAGGTGGAATCGACACGTTCAAAAACTACTCCAACGGTCTCTTCAGCACTCCGGTCAACGATTTCCGCCGATACAGCCGCGGAGCCGCTGGTCACCAAGAAACCTTCACCGGCTACGCCAGCGACACAAACGTCGCTGACCAGAGCTTCAACACGTACGGCACCAACACGGCCGGAGGCTCCGGCGAGTTCAAAAATTACTCCAGCAATTCAAACGTCCCCAACTTGCGATTCACCACCTACTCCGACTTCACCGCTGGGAGGACACAGTCGTTCTCTAGATACAGCGAAGACGGAAACTCAGGCGGGCAGACATTCCAGAGCTATGGCAAGAATTCCGCCGGTGCTGGGAACGATTTTACTGGCTACGGAACAAACTCCAACGTTGCCACGTCTGGTTTCACGAACTACGGCAAGGGAGGCGTCATTCCCAACGACACCTTCACCAACTATGGCGTGGATATGAACGTCCCTGAAATAACCTTCAAGAGTTATGCAGACGGAACGCACGGTGGCAGTGAGAGTTTTGCCAACTACAGGGACCAGTCCAACGTTGGTGACGACTCCTTCCAATCCTATGCTAAGAACACCAAAGAAGGGACCCAAGTGGATTTCAAAAACTACGGCAACTCCGCCAACCCAGGTTCCGACACTTTCAAAGGCTACGCCAAAGGAGCAGAAGGGGATCACAAGGTTGGCTTCACGGGCTACGGCGTTAACACGAACGCTACCTTTAAGGATTACGCCAAAGAGGGTGTTTCCTTCGCTTCTTACAACACCTCTTCTTCTTCAACTGTCGGTGGCAGTTTGGTGAAAAGGTGGGTGGAACCGGGTAAATTCTTTCGAGAGAGCATGCTGAAGGAAGGAACCGTGATGGCCATGCCAGACATAAGAGATAAAATGCCCCAAAGATCATTTTTGCCCCGCTCTATTCTGGTGAAATTGCCTTTCTCTTCTTCAAAGATCGAGGAGCTGAAGAGCGTGTTCAAGGTGTCTGATAACTCCTCCATGGAGAAGATGATGATGGAGTCTTTGGGTGAGTGCGAGAGAGCACCCAGCGTCGGAGAGATCAAACGTTGTGTGGGGTCTGTCGAGGATATGATTGATTTTGCAACCTCTGTTTTGGGCCGCAGTGTCGGGGTTTGGACCACTGAAAACGTAAACGGGTTCAGTAAGAATGTAATGGTGGGTCGGGTCAAAGGAATGAATGGTGGCAAGGTAACTAAATCCGTGTCCTGTCACCAGAGCTTATTCCCTTATCTGCTTTACTACTGTCACTCTGTTCCTAAGGTTCGGGTGTACGAGGCGGATCTCTTGGATCCGGAAAGCAAGGCGAAGATTAACCACGGTGTTGCTATATGTCACCTGGACACCAGTGCATGGAGCCCCACCCACGGTGCATTCGTGGCTCTTGGGTCGGGTCCGGGCGAGATTGAAGTGTGTCACTGGATCTTTGAGAATGACATGACTTGGACAATTGCTGAGTGATTGGGGAAAGTTGTGTTAGTTAGCAGCGGTGGGAAATGCATATGAAATGAAAGGCTGTAACCCAAAGTCATCAAGTTTCTATTTAATAATTAATCAATAATCACTTAGGAGCTTGTGTTTGTTTGTAACGGTAAATTATATGGCTTCCGAGTACAAGCCAAAGTGTTATTTATTTAGAAAAACAAACATGTATTGTGATGGCTGTCAATCAACCGTTATCAATTTATTTATTTATATGATTGTGAGTGTTTTCCACCTGGTCATGCAGTCCAACTTCAATCATTAAAACTTTAAAATTAATACTGTTACATTCCTCTAAACAAATAAATTCACAACCCATTTTAATAATATAATCATATATATTAAAATTTCAAGTTAAAAATTAAAATAAATATAATTAAAATATTATTATTTTGAATTATTAAGGACTTTTTTTTAATTTGCGGGTATCTAAATATCATCACTCTAATAATCACAACACAACGATAATAAGCACAACACAACACAACGATTCCTAGAATAGTCATGAATACTGAGCATGCACATGGCCTAATAAGCACAACACAACGATAAGAGAGTTGTGATTGTTCTCTGTTTGGTAAGATTGTGAGGGTGTTCACATCTTGTTTGCTATAATGGCTTTTAGTTGTAACTCTATCATTATAGTGAAATCCCTTCAAATCAGGTTGTTGAAGGAAGACTAGATGTAGACTTGGCCGAACCAATATAAATTGTATGAGTTAATCTTTCTCTATCCTTTGTCTTTTGTTGTTCATTCATCATTATTGTTTTATTGATTTCAAGAAAATCACAGATTTTGAAAAGCTTTTGAAAAGATTAATTTTTTAAGGCAAAATCGAATTCACCCCCTCTTGACTTGAGATACAAGGCATCACATTTCTAACAATTTGCACCAGAGCTAGAAATTCAAAAATTATTCGAATTTTAATTGGTTAGGTTTTCTGTTTAATCGGTTAAATTGTTCCTGATGACCAACACATCTCAGAGCATGAGCAAAGGTGTAATTGATGATGAAATTAGTGGTTTCTTGAATTCAATAGGCAAACGTGTATGGGATGTTGTCATCAACAGTCCCCTTGAGCCAATCAAGGCAAGGTTGAGAAGGTTAAAGTCAAAGAGTCCTATATATCAAGAAAGCAAAATCAAGAGGACAAAAGATACATCAACATCTTGAAGTTTGCTGCTGAAATGCTACAGAATCTACAAAAAGTTCAGAGAATGAAGAAACAAATTTGATGGCAGAAAGATTTTCTAAATTTTTAATATGCAAAAAGAAAAGATAACTTGAATTTTGCAAGGAATAAAAAGAACTCTAGAAAGCAAGATGAATGTGCTGCTTCTTCCATTACTGAATGTGAAAGAAAAGGAGAACTCAAACTAGAGCAAGATTTGTAAGAAGAAAATGAAGGCAGAGATAAACATTAGCCCACTAAAGAAGATGTTGACCTAGTAAATGTGGAAATGTCTACTGCAGCACCTCCCTACAGACCAAAGATTGATATGGTAAAGCAAATGCAAACATTGGTTAACCATCATTCCACCTACACCTTCATGCTTGACAAACTGGACCAAGAGATTGCTACTCTCTAGAAGATAACAGGGAATCAAAATATGGGTGATGAAATAGTAGCAGCAGATGATGAGGTTAAGGGAGAAGATAATGGAGATGATGGTAGCGAAGAAAAAAGAAGGAGAGCAAGAGGAAACTAATTTTTGCTTGATGGCAAGATCTACATCATCTGAAAGTAGTGTGAGTAATTTTGAATCTGAAAGCATCAAAAATAGGTACTATCAACTATTTGATGCTTTTCATAAATTGTATGATGAAGCTATAAAACTCCAACACTTAAACAACAAGTTTAAAAGTGAAAAACAAGAGGCTGGAAAATAGAATAGAGGGTCTAGGTAAGGAAAATGAAAGTTTGAAATCAAAACTAGAATCTCTAAAGAATATCTCCAAAAACTCCTTGCATGTGAACAAAAAATGTGATCAAAATTGTGAAAACTATCAAAGACAGCAGGAAAGAATCAAATATCTTATGATTACCTCTTCTAAGTTTACATTAGGCATTTCAAATCTTGATGCTCTTCTTGGTTCAAAAATGAGTGTGTTGAATAAAAAAGGAATATGGTATGTTGTTAAAAATAATCGGTTGAGAACTAGAAGGTTTATTGACATAAGCAAACCTTCTTCAATTGTCTGTTTTTATTGCAAACAGTTAGGCCATGCATCAAACTCATGTTATTATAAAATTTTTGGTGTTCCTAAAGGAAAGTTTAAATGGATTCCTAAGGAACCATTGAAATCTTCTAACATGAAAGGACCAAAATTCAAATGGATACCTGCACCCAAACCCTTTAATTGTTTTGCGGGAGATTGATAGATATGGAAAAAGAATAGACTCAAGGTGATGCATAAAGCTGAAGCAAATCTCACAATTCAAAGTGCTCATAATACCTTGGGGACATCAAACTTGGTAATAAGCCTTGGTACTGGTAAAACATGCATAATTCTTATTCAGCATAAACATTTTGATGTATGTGATGTATGTTTGTTGCTTGACATGAAGAGATTGAGTGAAAATATGCAAAATAACAGTTTCTGCAAAATTTAATCTGTTATATAAAGTGTTTAATCGATTAGGTTATCCTCTCTGTTTTACTGAAATTGGATTTTGCAACTGATATAATCTATTATGTTAAAAACATAATCGGTTAAATCTACTCCAGAGAGAGTTTTTCAATTTCAAATAAATTTTCCCTCGTATCTTAACTAATGGTAGTGATTCCATGTTCATTATCATTAAATATTTTGGAGTTAATATTTCACATAAGCTTAGATTTTTTACTTTTGAACTCTGAATTATAGCATTCTAGTACATGTGATATCTAGAAAATGATTCTACATGTTTAAATCTGAGTGAAATAAATTTCTTCTATTAGTTGGTATCTGATTGAATAAAATTCATTGAAATAGTAGAATAGAAATATGTTTTTGAATTCATTGTATATTATATGACTTGAGTTTTTGAAATCAAATTAACTAACGAGAACATAAATTTTGAAAGTGTAACTCTAATGTATAGTTTTGTTGTTAGATTAATTGGTTAATAATTACTAGAACACTACTACATAGTGATTTTTAACATCATTTTATTAATTTAAGCTTGAACTTGGAATATTATATCGGTCATTAGTATCGAATGTATAAATGTGTTTACAAAATTGAATTTGTAGGTACACTACATCAATGAGCAAATTTTTTTTTAAAACCTCTATCAAAAGAAAGGTTTTATACAAATAGAAATAAATTAAGCTTTTTTTATCTAAACTGTGCAACATAGCTAACAAAAGCATTTCCGCATTGCATACTAGTATACAAATGAAAATCATAATATTGTCTAAATCTAATTGGATGATTGTATACATGTATGTTTCTTGCTTGAAAATTATGCCAACTAAGTTTAATAATGCTTATCATGAGTGACTTACTAGTTGTTGTGGAATAGCTAAGATAATACTTAGTACTTGTGATTTGAATGAATACATTGAATGATTACATTCTGAATGATAAAACTGGAATATCACTTGGTCTTGTGCTTCATTATTCGTATCATTCATTGATCATGCACATTGATATACAATTACTGCTAATATCATGTTTATTATGATATTAACATGTTACAATGTTGAGAAAGTTGTGTTTCCAGGTTACAAAATGATCACAATAGGTTAAATGATCAAACAATGTGATTCTGATCATATCTTTGAAATTTAACAAATTAAACAGTTTCGTAATCTATTAAATAATTTGAACTGTAGTTTTATAATCTATTTAGTAACATAATCGATTCTGTTACTAACTTTGGACTTATATGCTTATAAATTCTTTTCTTAGTTGCTAAACAAGTTTTAAATATTATTGTATGCATGTTTAGCATAAGACACATATCATATGTTGCATTTAGCTCAAATTTGTTTTGAAATTCATCATATATGCATTATTATTAGATAATAACTTTGTGCAGATGTGCTAACACATTTATCATATATTCTGTTGTATTTTAACTGATATCCTAATGTCCTTACTGCAATAATATTTTGTCTTATCAGCATTGCATACATTATCTTGAGTATTAGGAAATTCACATGATATCATATGCTATATATTCATTTGAATTCAGTATAAATGATCTGATATGTATTTATCATATATTTGGTATACTCTTTCAAATCTATAAACTAAGCTCTAAGACACACTCTGATGGTCAATCATATACTGCTCACATTTTTTTATAAGTGCTACATCTCTTTATGATAGGGGGAGCATCATATTTTAAATAATCTGAAATTTTTTTATGTTCTTTAGCACATGCTTATTTCCATGTTACTTGTTCTATCATTTTTTGCTAATGCCCAAAAGGGGAGAGTAATTGGAAAACATGTTTCTTGTTGTGCATCTATGTTGATAGGGGGAGCTATACCTACCCTATAATTACCGAAGGCCTAAAGAGCATTACCGAGGGGTTTATGGCCTTCGGTAAGAGGCTCGACCCCTTAAACTAAGGTTATCCCCAATTTCGTTAGACAAAACTCTACCCTACCTTATTTTTCGTGTTTCCCATTCTCTCCGTCTTCGTTCTGTTTCGCTCCTTCTCATCCCATTGTGCTTCCCATTCTCTCCCTCTCGCTTCTGTTTCACGTTTCTTTCCCTCTCCCTCTCCCTGTCCCTTGTGTCAGCTGGCATTGTGTGGCTAGGGTTCACTTGCTGAACCTCCCCTATAGTGGTGTTCGATTGTTTCTTCCACCAGTGGGTTGGCGTTGCCGTCAAGAGAGTGGTCCATCGTTGCTGTCAGGAGGGTACTCCCGTGACGTGAGGGTGATTGTCTTCGTCAAGGGAGGCTCTTGGGAGACCATTGCGTCGAGGTATGTTCTCTGTGTCTGAATGAAATAGGTGTTGATGTCGCTTAATGAATCAATAAACCTAACTACACTTGCCTTCCATGTGTTAGGGTGAGCTTGAGAAGGGGTTTGAATTATTTCCAAAAAGGGAGGAAGAGAGTCTAGGGAGAAGACCAGTAAGCAGCAAAGAAAAGCAAAGGCAAAGGTATGGATACCTAAATTGAAATTGCATGATTGAATGGTTTGAAACTGATTGTGAAGTATGTAAGGGGTGTGCTCTTATCTTGAA